ATAGAAAGGGGAGGAAATCTATGAATGTCATTCTCAAAAAACTATTATTTTTTTTCCTGAAATCAGTTACACTTGACAAACATTTATTATTAAGTCCCTACTATGTGCAAGACGTGGTGCTAAACACTGAAGATACTGCTAATTCACCACCACTACTACAGATGAAGTAGTGGCCACACCAAAGTGAGAACCATTTTTGATTTGTCTTTGTTTCATTGGCTACCATGGCCAAAGAATTTGTTGTGTAGTAGTTCTGGTAGCTGTCCGGGTCTACTGCTTGGACTTTATCGGTCAATAAGCATTTATCAAGTACCTACTTAATACACAGCCTAGCACTGTGCTAGGTGTTGAGGGTATAGAGATAAAAGCAATAATCTCTGCTCTCAAAGAGCTGATGTTGTATTGAGGGTGATAACCTGTAAATATACAAATGTACATAAATAGAGATAAGATATTTTGCTGGGCAGAGGCAGCTGCAAGGAACAGGAGAAGCCTCACGCACCAGGTGGCATTTAAGCTGAGCTTTGGAAGAAAGTAAGGATTCTCCAAAGCAGAGATGTGGAAGGAGTGCATGACAATGGAGGGTAGGGAGGTGACATGCCCCTTCAAAGACTCAGAGACAGAAGATAGAGTGTTATGTAGGAAGAATAGCAAGAAAGTTGGTTTGGTTGGATTGTAGAGTGTATGAAGGGGAGTGATATCTAATAGACCCATGTTGGAAGCCATTCCAACAGAGCAGAGAGCCCAACAGAGCTTATATTGTTTTTAGTATAGCCTTTGCAAACCCAGAAGCACCTCCATGCCACAGTTAGGCTTTGGAGTAGGGCTGTGTAGAGATGGTGCTGGAGACACGAAGACAAAACTTAATATCACTGCTGCTCTCAAGGGTCTTACATGCTACTGTTGTGTGAACCTGGGCAGAGTCACTGGGCTGCTCTCAGCCTTAGTTTGACCAGCTGTCAAAAGGGGATAATAATAACATCTGCTTCACAGGGTACTAATGATCAAATAAGATAACATTCCCAAAGTGCTTTGCAAACCTCAGTTATTATTCTTGGGCAAATAAAGCATTGACACAGATATGTAAACCTACTGAGAAGTACAAGTGATTTCATCACTGTACCATTAAAACATTAACCAGAGTTGTGACTTGAGCTTGAAAGAGTTAATCTATTCTTACACTAATGTCTATAGACTTCAGATATTTCCACTCTGTGTTCAAAGAACTGAACAAAACCTTTTTTATCTTCCAGAAGCAATGGGTTCTGATACAATCTCTCAAAAAGGAAATCTTTGCTTTGTGACATTTCGTTTCATTCTAATGTCTTTTGGCTTCTCAGCTTCCCGTTGAAGGAGAAGTCTATTCTGTTGTATGTACCCCTATTCTCTGGTGCTTAATGTTCTGTTTCTCCCCTGACGGTTTAAAATATTTTGCCCTTAAAGAGGCTGCTGCATTAAATTTCAGAAAGCCACCAAGCACTCAGAAAGGTTGTAATAATAGTTTCATCTGTGTGTCAGACAAGCAAACAAAAGGCCAGGTAGGAATGGGGTTTGTGTTCTCTGAGCTCACTCACAAACTCACAGCCATGAAACATGAATTGAAAATAATTTGGACTATGGAAACAGATCATTTGGATGATTTGGGGCAAAACAAATGATTTCGGGGACTATTTCTGAAAAAGCAGTCTGTTGGAAATGCCAATAGTGCCAAGCTTCAAGCCATCCAAACCTTGGCTTGGGTCTGTGAACTTGTTTTTATTTATTTATTTGTTTGTTTGTTTGTTTGTTTATTTGTTTATTTTTCGAGGCAATTGGGATTAAGTGACTTGCCCAGGGTCACACAGCTAGTAAGTGTCAAGTATCTGGTCTGAGACCAGATTTGAACTCAGGTACTCTTGAATCTAGGACTGGTGCTCTATCCACTGCGCCACCTAGCTGCCCCTGAACTTGTTTTTAAAAAATCATTTTAGGAGTAGCTCAGTGACACAGTGGATAGAGGACTGGCCCTGGAATCAGGAAGATCTAAGTTCAAATTCAGCCTCAGACACTTGACACTTACTAGCTGTGTGACTCTGGGCAAGTCACTTAACCCCATTGCCTAGCCAAAAAAAAAAAAATCATTTTAGTCTCAGTTAAGATTGACATCTCAGATACATTCTCTAATGCTGATTCTTGGCTTCTAAGGCATATTCCAGATATCAACTGCTATTCCTCAAAATGAGTCTGATGAATGACTGGTTTGTAAATTTAAACTCATGGGATCATAGATTTAGAGCAAAAAAACCTTAAATGTCATCTAGTCCAACCCTATCATTTTAAAAATAAGAAAACTGAGGCCCAGAAAAGTAGAATTGACAGCTTTAAAAATGCAAGTAGCATCATGAATCAGTGCTGTAACCAAGAATCCTTGTGCTTAAATCAAGTACCCCAAATCACAACTGGAGCATTCAGTTGGTGATGTGCCTTCAGGCTAAAGGCCATGACACCACACCAGTGGGGGTGGGGGTCAAGGAAAGAAGGACAAAAGCCCAGGGACATTGATTTGGTGCCATAATGGGAAGGGGGGGGTGCAAGATCAAACACAGAGGTGCTCACCTCAACCCTGACATCGGGTAGTTTCCTATTTTAACTATTGTATTTGCTAGTTCGATGTTAAGCTATTTCTAAGGTGCTAAGGGACTGCAAGCATTTTAAGCACCCTCTAAATCTGGTACCCTGGACAAAGCTTTGGTCACCTTGTCCTAATTACAGATATATAAGGAATAAAGATCATTTCTGTGTCAACCATCAAAAAGGTTCAGCCAAAAAAAAAAAACCATTTCCCACTAGATGTGTTTGCAGAGAATTAATCATACTCTAAACCCAAGTTCAACTTCCCAAATCAATCCATAAAACCAAAATGACACACACTTTTTATATAAAAGGATAAATAGAGCATTTTATTAACACTTTTTGCAGCAACAAAGATGACAGTCCACATCTTGTCATTCAACACAGCAAAAGCTATGACCATGGTTTACATCACTTTGAGGCACAAAGCAGAAGACAATCTGATTTTTCCCATAAGGTTAAGAAGGGTTTGCATTTTTTGAACAACCTTCAAGTTTTATATTTGCAGTAGCAGGGCCTCCAGTCACTAGCACAATACAATGAACAGATAAAAAATCCAGAATGGACTATTACATACACACACACACACACACACACGCTGATAATCATTGGATTTGAGTTGGGAATACAATGTCTTTATCCATTTTGGAAAGTTAGGAAATGATTTGGTGTTCACTTTGTTGTTCTGATCATTCCAGCCACCCAAAACATCTACGACAAGCAAAATGAAGATAATAATATACAGACGGAAGGATGATGCCCATTGTGATGCATTGCACTTATTGCTTGGTACACAAATGTTGCAATTCTTGTTGAATTACTGTAGGAAGTGCCAACGGGCTGTCTCTTCCTGGTGCTAAAATTCTACAACTTTATGAAAGTAGAAATTGCAATCTCCCCAACCCAACAGAAGTTGTATGCCACTTTTGGTATATGTGAGGATTGTTGCTTTTACTTTTGTGTGCGTATGTGTAGATATAGACATATATGTATATAGGTATAGTCATATTATTTATTGCCCTCTATTTTTAAGACAAATACATTTTAAATGGGACTTGGAAAGTAACAAAAATTGTCTATTAAGTTTATATTTTTATATTCTATAGAGATCTGTGGCACAAGTCTAATACAGTATGGAATCATGAAGGGAAGAATGTCTAAATTGTCTTCTATTTCCTTTATCAGTAAAATGATTTTTTAAGGGCTATAGCTCCATAATAAATTTCTCATTAGACTCTTAAAGGGATATATGTCTTTTCTAACGAGTTTTTACAACCAGTACAAAGTTGTAATAAAAATACACTGAAGTCTTTTTTTTTTTTGAAAAAGTCATCAGACATGCTGCATGAAAATTCAGATTTTTAAAATGTAAAGTATTTTATACTGTCAGGTAAATGGATGGAAGAACTGAAGCATACCCCTCACTTTTCCAGATCTCCAACATGCAAAGAAAGAGGTTTCTTTCCATGCTGGAAACTCTAGTATTCAGTCTAAGTCACTCCAAGATACTACTCTCTGTCTCATCAAACAGCTTGTGACAATTTTCTTTTTAACCAGACCTATGATTGCTTTGGTGTGAGGGAACTCCCAGTGCAGAAACTCCCTCCACCAATGTAGATCAGTATCTCTGCTGTAAATTTTAGTCTCAGAGAGTTGTCTGGGGGCATTGAGAGGTTAAGTGATTCACCCAGGGTCACATAGCCAGCACAGGTCAGAGGCAGGTTTTGAACCTGGGTTTTCTTGACTGGAAGGCCAGTCTTCTTCCCATTGGATCATGGTGCCCTCAGCATAAAATCACAACTCTACAGAATATCTTGTTAGCTACTGCCTATTCAGCATACTTCTGGGGGTTGCCAGAAATCTGAAGTCTTCCCCTTACAGCCAGCAGGCACTGCCTCCCTCTGACTGAATAAATATGGATTCTTTAACACAAAGTCCTGTTGATATATCTATTTCCATATAGTGTAGCAAATATATAAGTGCATTTTTCATGATCAAGTAGCTTTGGCTTTTTCACCAGAGTATTTGATGTGCCATGTGCCAACCCAGATAGTTGTGCTTTCATCATTGGTTATGAGTTTGAGCTCTTGTGTCTATCTATAGAAGAAACTAGTTGCTTCTATAGTTTTGATCAGGAAATTTGAAAATGTGTAGTGCAGAAATGGCTGGACCCGAATGGATGTGATGCCATGTCTCAATGGGGACAGATTGTACTTGAACAAATGGTCACTTGATGGGATTGATTTTTTTGGGTTTTTTTTGTGGTTTTTTTTTGTACAGCAAGACCTGTCATTTTGATATGTCAACATGTTTACACCACATCTCTTGTGCAAACAACCACGATGGATTTAATCACAAACACTATAAAATAGATTCAATGATTAGCTCTGTTAAGAATAATCTTCTCTTTCCTTATAGATGTATGAGTCTTGGACCTCTTCTTGTACAAATTCTTCTTTCTTCTCCCACCCATTGGGCCAACCACCATTGGCCTGTGTTGTTGCCCCATAGGACTTTGTGGTACTGTAATTTACATAATTTTGAGTAATGTCCCCTGTTTCTTCATCAAGTTCATCTTCATGAATAAAGCCGCACTTTTCTTCACTGGTCTCTTCAGGATCTGCCCAGGGTTGTTTCTCACCCGAAGCAAAGATTCCATAAAATATAACTCCACCATAGTGGACTAAGGCTGCAATCAGAAAGACATACTGCCACTCTTCCCGGGACTGTAATAAAGAAAAGTGGTACTGTGAGAAGAGCCTTTCAAGGTTTAAAAGACTCAACATCTTCATTTAAATCTCCAAATTTTATATAGCTTTTTTGAAGAGCATCTTATTCAGAAAAAAAAGCCACTTTCTACCAATCAATGGCCAACATTCATGTAAGTAATATATCTCCTACGTGTTTTAATTTTTTTTTAAATTGTACTCATTTTGAAATGAAAGACAAGAAATATCTACAACCTGCCTTAAGGTAAAAACGGTTTCTATTAGAAGGCCTGAGAGTTTCAATTATAATTGAATTTAAAGACCTGGAGGAAGACGTTGAGAGCATTGGATACATTTTCAATGGAGAATTTGTGCAAGTACATGGAAAAGAATTATACAGGATAAGAAGACTTGCATGGGTTGTGATCTTCATGGGGGAGAATGCCTGTACTGATCAGAGAATTACAGGGCCTCAGAGGCCATGTAGCCTAATCTGTACCTGAACTAGAATCCCCTCTATATCCCACATCACAAGTGGTCATTAAGCACAATGATAAGATCATGGATCAATTGTGAGATCATAGAGTCATAGACTTAAATTTGGAAGACACCTAAGAGGCCATCTAGTCCAAGCCCTTCATTTTCACAGATGAGAAAACAGAGACCTGGGGAGTTTAAATGACTTGACCACAGTAACCCAGGCAGGAGGCAAGATTTGAACACAGGGTCTCTAAGCTCAGAGCCAGTACTTAAAGTACATAATATATACTTTGACTTCCCTCGTTTTTCCACTGAGTTCATTTTATTTTTGTCTCCTATGACCAGCATTTTGAGTTAAAAGACTGGCCCTTTGCTCTGCTTGGTCTCAGAGGGCAGAACTGATAACAAAAGGTAGACGTTATATTAAGGTGGATTTACAATTGACCAACAGGAAAATCTCCTTACAGGAGAGCTGAGCAAAAATACCAAGGGAGGTAGGGAATCCTCTATCTATAAAGCCTTCAGGTTTGGGATGGATGGTTATTTGGCTTTAGGCAAGAATTTGACTGACACTAGAAACACCTTCCAACTCCGCAATTGTATAAATTCAAAAGCAAGGCTGTAACCAACCTCAAGAGGATTAGGGAGCAGTATTATTGGAGATATGCAAAATGAAATTCCTTCTGCCCCACAGGTATTCTGCAATGGTCACAAGCTATTCTGCAATCTGGCCCCTACACCAAATACATCTGAGAGATATTGAGAAGAAAGTAGCTTAGTGTCCAATGATGAGGTCTACCTCTGACCTCTAGGGGATTCAACAGTCCTTTGTTTAGGGGCACAATACTCCTCACCACAGACATAGAACATGAACGGGAGCAATGAACAGAATGCAAGATCTTTGCTCTTTGAAATGTGAACACATGCTTCCATTTGACCACCTACCTTGTTCTTTGTCATTGCACCAACAATGATAGGGCAAACCATTCCTGACAATGTACCAACACCATTTGAAATACCCATTAAGATACTGGCATATCTTGGTGCAATATCCAAGTGGTTGACATTGAATCCTGAAACAAACACCCAAAGTTTCACTTCTGAGGTTATAAGACCATACCTCTCAATTAAATAAATTAAATAGGAAATTCAAATTGTTGAAAACTCGGCTGATTTTTTTTATGGCTGAGGGGAAATGATTACCAAAAGTACACACATGCGCACGTGCACGTGCACACAAATACATACATACACACACACACACACACACACACAGAAACGAACACACACATCTATCTGCTAATGATATAAAAAAATTTTTTTCTGAAAATAATAGATTGAAGCAGGGGAGGGAGAAAGCAAATTAATTTAGGCCAAAGTTCCCCCTTTATGAGACAGGAGGCTTCTAATATGACATCCTCTTATGTTTAAGCATCTATTATGTACAAGGCACTGCTTCAGGTGATAGGGATAAAAAGGCAAAAAAAAAATCCTGCCTTCAATGAACTTACATTTCATTGGAGGACCTTCTATTCAATTTTTAAAACAGTTATGTTTAGAAAGGGGAATTGTCCATAGCTAAGATGAAGCCATATTTCCCTTAATTGTGGCTGAGTGATTAGATGGAAAATCACTTTGCTGGCCAGGTGATCTGCCCATTGACTAAATGGGCAAACTCCTGAGTCCACCACCAAAGTTCTTCCACAATCTGTGCCTACTTCACTTGTACAGCCTTATCTCCTATCATTTTCCAAGACATGCTTCACTTCAACTCAAAGTCATGAAATGTGTTTCCCTTCTAGTACCTTTGCCTACTCCAGCTGCAATTTCAGCCTACCTAGAATGCCCTCCCCTACCTTCATCACCAATCAAAATTCTACACATCTGGCAAGACTCATCACACTTCTCCCTTCCCTTGCTCAATTGCCTGGTGACTTAGTTCCACTCTACTAACCTCTGCATTTAAATTTTTTGTTCTTTTGTCCTCTCAGCTGTTATGCCTTGCCAAACCCTAATCTTGGATTGTTACCACCACCACCCCCATCCACTACCTTTGCTACTTTTCATGTGCTGCTGAACACTAGAGAAAGTCAAGAAACTGAACTGACTGGATATACTACCAATTTGTGTTATATAATCTCAACTGGGCCTTCATGCAGCAAAGCAATACTTTTACATTTACCTAGTGGATTCACTTTCCCATCATCTGCAGTGATTATTCCAAACTTTTCATCTCTCTTCAAACCACTCACAGCATCCCTCCCCAACCTTTTCACCTCAATTTACTGAAAAAAAATTGAGGCTATCCAATGAGAACCCCCTATTCTCCTCTCCTCTCCATTTCATATCACTCAGATGCCTTTCTTTACTATCTGCTTCTTCACCCATGTCTCATATGAGGGTGTACATAGTCCTCCTTACCAAGGCAAATTCTTCTATATGCATACTTGACTGTATCTTAATTTTCCTCCTCTACCATCTTTACTCTCTTTCTAATCTTTAATACCTCCCTAACTACTAGCTCCTTCTCTGCTATGTACAAATTTGCTGATCTTTCCCCCATCCTTAAGAAAAACCTTCCTTCAACTATCTCCACTATCATCCTTTACTTTTCCTCCCCTTCATGGCTTAACTCCTTGAGAAAGCCATCTACACTCAGTTTTTCCATTTCCTATTCTCTCATTTGATTCTAAATTCTCTGCAAAAAAGGCTTCGAACATCATCATTCAACTGAAAATGCTATCTCCAAAGTTACCAATGATCTTTTAATCCACAAATCTAATGGCCTGTCCTCAATCATCCCTCTTGATCTCTCTGTGATCTTTGACACTGTTCTTCAACTTTTTCTCCCAGATACTATTTCCTTTCTCAGTTTTTGTGACACCACTCTCTCTCCTGCTCTTGTTTTACTTCTCTGTCCTCTCCTTCACAGCCTTCTCTGCTCTATTTTCTTATAGAAAATACCACTAACTATGGGCATCCCCTAATACTCTACCTGGGGCCCTTTTCTCCTTTCCCTCAGTACTATCTCATCAGCTCCCTTGGTTTGAGTTATCATCTTTATGTAGGTGATTCCCAGATCCAGTGTTACCCTCTCTCCTGATTTCTAATCTCATCCCACCAAATACTATTTGGATATCTTAAATTGCATGTCATATAGACATCTCAAAGTCAGCATATCCAAAACTGAACTTATTATCTCCCCCCTTCCCCGCCTCAAATCCTCTTCTCTTCTGAATTTCTCATACTGTGGATGCCACCACTATCTTCCCAGTCACTCAGGCTGAAAACCCAGGTGTTAGTATCAACTCCTCACATGCACTTCACCTATACAATCTGTTGTCAATTCTTGTCATTTCTGCCTTCAAAATAGATCTCATGTCTGTCCATTTCTCTCCACTTACAAAGCCATCAGCCTGGTTCAAGAAAGTTCCCATACTTTATATCTGGGATATTGCAACAGTCTTTGTTTTTTTATTTCCCTTGCTGGAAACTTCTCCCACTCCAATCCATCTTCACCTAGCTGCCAAAGTGATTTTCCTTAAGTATAGGTCTGATCACATCATTAATTACCACTCAATAAGTTTCAGTGGCTCCCTATTTCCTCAAAGATCAAATATGAGAGCCTCTGTTTAGCTTTTAAAGTCCTTTACAATCTGAGCCCTTCCTATCTTTACACATACTCTTCAATCCAATGACATTGGCTTTCTTGCTGTTTCTTACTTACGAAACTGCTAAGGGGTTTGTGATGCTCATGGCATTAGAAAGAAAAGCATAACCAATTCTGTCTTTTCTTTACAACCTTGAAAAGAAATGTCATATTAAAAAAACAACTAAATTTGTATCTTACCTGAGATAGCAAAGCCACTGAAGCCCACTGCAAGCACTAAGAAGGAGATAGCTACTCCCCGAGTATGAGAATAGCCCACGACCAACAGCAGTGTGGCTTCCATGCCAAAGCCTTAAGAAGCAAACAGAGAAGAACTTAATTGGAAATTCAAAGCTATTTCACACGGGCATCAATAAGGCCTCAAGAAGAAATCATTTAACGGGATCCCCTACGTGGTGTTCACCAATTGTCCAATTTTGAAGTGGTATCTGGAAAGGAAGAGGCTACTTCTAAGCATAATGCCAATGGATGCCAGGGAGCAATCTAGTCTTTAAAGGTCAAGCCTTCCCTAATATTCAGAAACCAGTGAATTTTAATGGAGACACATTAGCCTAATGGGGGGGGGTGGGAACGAACCCAAAGCATTCTTCTTTTGAGATCAATGGAATATTTCCATACATTACTAAATTTAACATACCCAGGCTAGGTTGCCTGGGAGCTAGAACTAATCTCCATGTGGTTACAGTACAAAATTTTTCTCAGAAAGAGGAGACATGATTAAAATGCAACTTAATGGTGCGTATCCACATCTTCCTTTGCACAGGGCTGAATGAATGCCCTGGCTCTTTTGGCAGAGGACCTGGGTCCAAATCTCAACTCTGGTGCTTACTGTGTGATCTTGGGCAAGTCACTTAACCAATCTGGGCTTCAGTTTATTCATCTGAAAAAAAAGGGGTGGGTAGGGCTAGACAGACTCTGTTTCCTTCCACTTTTAGATGTATAATGTTATTATTGTCTTATGATAGTGATAAAAATAATAACTGACATTTATAGAACACTTTTAAAGTTTGCCAGTTCCTTTGCATGAATTGTCTCTTTGGAGCCACATGACAACTCTGTGAGGCAGGTATTATAGGAGTTATTCATCCCATTTTAGCACTGAGGAAACTGACATTTGGAGAGTTTGATGACAAAGCTAGTATGTATTAGACGTAGGATTTAAGTCAAGGGCTTCCTGGTTCTATGTCCCACATTCTATCCACTGTCTAGTTGAATTTATAAAGGAAAAGGAATGTGGCTAACATCAGTGTAAAGATTAATATCTTGTTTGTCTTCAACATGGTACTATAAAAACAGTAATATAGGGACCCCACACTTAAGCTGATACGTGTTGAGTCATGGCCTTATCTGTGCTGCTGTCCCAGATTCCAAAGTGGAATCTAGGTAGGACATAGCATGTATGAAAAATCAGCAAACATATTAAAGAAACACCGACCTAGACTGAACCAATGGCCCATGCAGTCTAGTCTCCTTTCTTTTAAGTGGGCTCAATGGCTATGATATTAAGGTTCACACACAGTAAATAGCATTCTATACCTTGGAGAGACACTCATCCTTACTGTCCATAGCTATTTGGCCAGTGAAAGAGTATCAGGCATGGAAATAACTCATTGTTTTTCTGATTCACTGGGGCCCATTGAAACGAGTAACATGGAAGGTGAAATAAATAGTTAGATCCAAACAATTCCCAATATTTAGGATGAATGCACACATTCCACTCATGAAAAGATGACCTTAGTATAACAAAAACAGGGAATTGCTCCATACACTGACTTACCTCCACAATTCATGATCTTCCTCACTGTAGTAGTTGAAAGAATCTGCCGGCTTCTTAGAAAATCAGCAATTTGTCCTCCAATTGGCACAATGATCGTCATCACTAGGTGAGGCACGGCAGATAACATTCCCACCTGATGGAAAACAAGTGGGGTTGGGGGGTGAGATGGATGTAAATTAGCTAACATTAAGGTCTGATACCCCCATTTCCTGGCCTCTTCATGGCTTGTGTATGAAAAATGGGTGATGAAATAACCTGAAAAATGATGGTGTGTCCACTTACTTACCCTCCCAGAATGGGCAATGATGTGTATTGAGTTGGGAGGAGGCTGAAGAAGAGAGAGATTATTGGTTCTGTCCCTCACTTCGGCCTTTACAACCACCATTGCTGTGATTTATCTTTTGCAGGGTTTACTCTCAACATTGTGGTTGGGATGTATCTATATCAGAACTACAGCGTTCTGAGCTTGGCCAAAAATCCCGAACATATTAAGAGATGTGAATGCCAAGAAGAAACCTATTAGCACTTAATGCCAGTCCCAGGAATGTCTTCTGGATGCTTTGATCAAAACCTGGAGAGGCTAGCTATTCCCTTTTGAACAAATAGCTTCTATTTTAGTCTCCAAGAGTGAGCAATTTTCTTTATCTTGAACTACACTGAGGCTTCCTTTGAGATAAAATGCAACCAAAAAGCCTAAACAGACTTTCTGTACTACTTTTTTACTACTTCCCCTAAACTCTTCTGACCCTTTTATTTGCTCTGAAGATTTTATGTTTTGAGTCATGGTGATGGACTAGGAAATGCTAGCTCCAATTAGTGATCTCTTTGCCATAGCTTTTTCATTGTGGATTCCTAGCAGTTTCTGAAGTTGTGTTTTATAGGGTTGCATGTTATATCTGTGGGCTGCTAGGTGGCACAGTGGGTGGAATGCCAGGCCTGGAGTCAGGAAGACTCATCTTCATGAGTTCAAATCTTGCCTTAGACACTTAGTAGCTATGTGATCCTGGGCAAGTCACTTAACCCTGTTTGCCTCAGTTTCCTCATCTGTAAAATGAGTGAGAGAAAGAAATGGAAAACCATTCCAGTTTATTTGCCAAGGAGACCTTAAATGGGGTCATGAAGAGTCAGACACGACTGAAATGACTGAACAACAAAATGTTGTATCTGCAAATAATACTAATTTTCTAATTAAGTCTACCACATTGGATGCTTTATAAGCATTTAGTGTGAAATAGTGTTGTTCCAAATAAATCAAAACCAAAACCATTAAGGTAAGACAAAGGGAAGTAGAAAGAGTGGAGTGGGGATTGGAGAGAGATGGTAGAGAGAAAAGATAAAAGAAAGAGAGTATGTTTCATTTTGGTCCAGACCTGGGACTTCATCAGTGTGGGAAACTCCTGATATGGAAACTCCCTCCATGGATGCAGATGAATGTCGCCTGTTAATTTATAGTGTTAGGGAGTCACCTGGGGGCACAGAGAAGTTAAGTACTTGCCTACTGCCACATATACTAAAGCTAGGGCATAAATGCAGGTCTTCCTGACTTCCAATGGCCTTCTATATACTACAACATGCTACCTGTACCAAAAAGAGAATTTATTTATAATTTGGTTGGTAAATTGGAGGGTCTCCAAACCAACTCTGAGAATCACTTTAGAATACCATAGAAATCACAGAATTCTAGAGCTGGTGGTCCCACTGGACCACCATTACCAAATTTATGGGAAACTCACATCTAATTTAATTGAGATTCAGGGAGAATTGATTTCACCAAGGTTATTGATCCAATTATTGACAGGATCATAACTAGACACCAGGTCTCATGGTTCTATCTGGTGTCCTTTATATTTTAAATAATCATAACACTGACAAAAATTTACATTGTCTTCTAAAGATTACATAGAACTTTACACACATTTTCCCATTTTTTCCTCATAGCACCCCCATAAGGTAAGTTTTATCATTATCAATTATCTCATTTTACATATGATGATAATGACAGCAAACATTTATACAGTATTTAAAAGTTTACAAACCACTTTACATATATTATTTCATTTAATCCTCACAAAAGTCTGCAAGATATGTATTATTATTGTTAGTGGTATAATAGACAGAGACCTGGACCTTGGCTCAGGAAGATCTGAACTCAAATCAGACCTTGGACACTTACTAGTTGTATGATACTGGGCAAGTCACCTAACCTCTTTCTGCCTCCATTTCCTCAACTGCAAAATGAAGATAATAACAGCACCTACCTTACAGGGTTGTTGTAAAGATGAAAGGAAATAATATTTGTAAAAATACTCAGCACAGTGTTTGGCACATAGCAGATGCTGAATAAATGCTGATTCCCTCCTTCTCTCTCTTCCGTCTTTGTATCCCAAGTGTTTAGCACAGTGCCTGGCATATAATTAGTGCTTAATAAATACTTCTTGACTAACTTGGCTGCTTCAACAAAAGCTTTATGTGCTCAAATCTGTTTGGCCAACTTCGTTTAAAAAATATATGTGTGCGTGTGTGTGTGTGTGTGTGTGTGTGTGTGTGTGTGTGTGTGTGTATGCCTCAGAAAGCAGTGAGCCAGATTCTGAATACGCCATATTGCTTTATCTCAACAAGATTAAAATACTCTAATTGGATTCTAAGATGGGTATTACTCCTAATTTTGGTGATGGTGGTCCAGTGGGAGTACATACATTGCCCAGAAAATTCTACCTTCAGATACATTCTCTTGTTTCTTTTTCAGAATTGTGTTTCTAGGGGTATTATCAATAAAAAAAAAAATCAATACTCATGTCACATAGTCAATCTTATAACGTATTGACCTCCTGCTTTCATGTCTAATAGTGAAATGTCAATCCTATGCTGGCTATATATTTTAATATGTGTAGATTTGTTTGCAAATTCTAATTATCTCTAATTTCCAGCACCCACAGAAAGCTTCTTAACCCATAATTTCACAGTTTAGCATTAATTTTCTCCCAGAAGAATGAGGTTCATTGACATTAGAACTTCTTTTTTGGGAACTCCTCCTTCCTCCGCTGTGGAAATGTTTCTTTTACTGAAAGGCTGATAGTTATGGTAAACTCTAAGTTTTCAGTGATGGATACTTTTGGATAAGCATGGTAGAAGGATCCATCCAAACAGAATGGTATGTAGTTCTTGAAAAGTCATCAGAAGTAAGTTAATGATTTTCTGGTGTAATGGAAGGAAATCCTGTATTCGAATCACGAGATTTAGACTGGCCACTTAATATCTATGGGACCTTTAACCTCCCTGGTCCTCAGTCCCCTCAGCTGTTAAAATGATTCACCTTTATATAATCTTTTAAGGTTCACAAAATCCTCATGTGGTAAGTACCAGCATATTATTATTCCCATTTCTAGAGGTGAAGAAACTGAGGTTCTGAAAGATGACTAGCTCAGACTTACATAGGGAAGGGGAGGGAACAACACATATTTGGTAAGTGCTTCCTGCATGCCTGGCATTGTGCTAGGTTCTTGCACATAATTTCATTTGATCCTCACAACTCTGTTACTCTCCACATTTTACAGTTGAGGAAACTGAGGCAGACAGAAGTAAGTGATTTGTCAAGTGATCACACAGGTAGTAAGTGTCTGAGGCCAGATTTAAACTCAGATTTTCCTGATTCCAGGCCCAGCACTCTATCCACAGTACCACCTAGCTAATATGTGTCTGAAGTAATTGAACTCAGGTCTCCCAACTCCCAGTTGTCATATTCTATCCACTATACTACATTTACGTGAATGTACATATATAAAAGGAATATGTTAGACTAAATGATATAGGTAGTGTCGCAGATAAACATTGGGAGTGGAGTCAAGAAGATCTGAGTTCAAATCGTGCCTCGAAAACTATATTGCATGATCCTGGGCAAGTCACTTAACCCCTATTTGCCTCAGTTTCATTAACTGCAAAACGGGGGTTATAATAGCATACAATTCACAAGATTATTGTGAGGATCAAATGATATAATATTTGTAAAGAAGAACTTTGCAAAGTACCTGGCACATAGTAGGTACAACATAAATAGTTATTCCCTTTTCCCTCTACCCATTGCAATGACTCTGGGCAAGTTACTAAACCTCTCTAGGCCTCAATGTCTTTATCTGTTAAATAAAGGGGTTAGACTCAAGGGCCTCTATGGTACCTTCCAGCTCTAACATCTATTTAAAGTCTTTTTTCAGCTCTAAAATTCTGATTCTAACTGGAAATACTTTGGGACTTCTAAATCACTACTCTCTATTCTGTTTATTGGTCCACATCTTATCTCAAACACAGGGTTGTCATTGTATGTCATTATCCACCCATTGGAGGAACCATTTGGTTACTCAGTGTCTTCTAAGAATGAAGGTGGTTCTACCCAAGCAATGTATTGGAGTGGCTTTCATTTTACTCAATTGACTTTTTTTCTGCACTAAATGAACCAGCTCTTTTGGCATCATGCAGACCTAGCCTTTGGGTGCTTTTGATGGGGTCTCTTGAATCTCAAGAACATTAAACCCTTGTTTTCTCTTCTACTTCCCTTCTACCACTTCTGCTATTTTGTGCCTAATTATTGCTATTCACTTGTCACATAATCGGTGTCTGTTACTTTATTGCCATAGAATGATATTATAGTTTATCATGGGTTTTACAATAACAATCTAAATTTATTTTCTACATTAAGCTCGTTGGTTGTTAATACATCCATTACAGAGAATAAGAATTCATGACTCACTCATTTCTACTACTTTGGGCCACATTTCCATTCCAACCAATCCATATCCTGCCATTTCCTGGCAGGCTGCCCAGAAGCAAAAAATGTTAGCCAAGCAATTTGACAGCCTCTTTGCCCTAAAATTTAGGGGTAAGGAAATAGGTCCCCTTACTGATTATGTATGTGTGGCTAGATCCTGTAATCTGACCTTTCATATCTATTTCCCTGTCAGCCTTTTTCCTCATCTGTGGATCTGCAGCCCTCAGATGATTGTTAAAATGATGTTTCTATGAGATAATCTTAGACTGTCTCTAATTTGTGCCGCATACAATATTTCCTGTTAATCAGACTGCTAAAATGTATTTGAAAGAGTCTATAATACGTTAGGAAAACTGAGAAGGTAAAAAATAAGTCACTCAATTTACTGTATTATGTAGTCCTAAGCAAAGTCTGACTTATTTAGTTTTTTATTCCACCTTGATGGACCAAAGAAACTAAACTCATTGTCTATCCCAGAATCATAGCATCTCAGGGTTAGAGAGGGTCTCAGAAGCTATCTACTCCAAGTCATATGTGTAAAAGAATACAGAGAGAGAGAGAGAGAGAGAGAGAGAGAGAGAGAGAGA